AGATATAGAAGCGACAACTATGATCAGTACGTTAAATGTGATGGTAGCACTATATAGCTCTAGAAACAGCAAAAGTATGTCATGGATGTTAAAAATAGAAGCTAAAACTTTAGAACTAATGAAATAGTGAAATGTTTTATACATAAAGCGACGGATAGTTGTAAAAGTATGTTAGTCAAATACTATTGGTTAATCAATGATCCTACAAACGATGCTAACATTGTAGCATCATTCGCCCATAATAACACAATCAGTTTATAGAAATACCATCCGCCTTTGTAAGTTGTATGTAAGAGAAAACTAAAAACTTCGTAAGACTAAAACAGTAGATTTAATGTTTTATGTATAAAACGAAACAAGAAACACAGGGTTATGAAATTAGATTAAGTTATTAATTTTAATATTTTGTTACGATAAAGATAAGGTCAGTTGATTTACTTCGGTCGTCAAGTGTCATGGTGGCATGACAACTTCCGCTTGTCTTGGCCGCTTAGCAAGTGTTACTTGTAACGCGCCCTCTAGTGCCACTAAGTGAACGTCATCTCCTCCCCATTCCTGAAATCAACACACGTTTCGCCCTCTGGTGGCATGCCATATAATTACACCTAATTACTCATATGGGTTATCTGTGCTGTGACCACCTTGGTTATCGAGTTTCGAAATTTATCGATATAAGCACTGAAAACCGCCGCTGAAAAAACAAGTGTACTTTAACATATAACTAATATGAATTATTGTCCTATACATGTTAGTAAAGTAATTTCGTATTTGTTCAACGCATACATATTTAAACAAGTGTATAAGTGATGGCTACGTTTTCACATTTCTCGCTCTATCTTACAGTTACTTACTCCTGTATTTCATTTTGAACCATTTTATCCCTAATATAAGCTATGTGCTTACATATATATGATAGAAAATAATTTCGTGCCAGTTCAACACATGTATAAAAAAAACAAGTGTGCAATTGACGGCTACGTTTGTATACTTCTCTGTCTATCCTATTGTTACGTACTACTATACTTCATTTCCAACTGTTATCCCTAATTCAGTTGAATTAAACATCACTAATGAATAACAATGTAGAAAAAGCCAGCTGAAACAGGTTACGTTACCCTCAATATTTTATGTAACGTTTACAGAGAAAGACTTTTATAATCACTTGTATATTTTACCACCACCGTCCCTTTGAAACATATTGTTTAATGTCTCATGTCACTGCCGTGTCGAGAAATAGTTGCGTCATTCAGTTTTGTTTCTGTCCTAATATATAGAGGGACTTGTATAACTAAAGAATATAAAAGAGAATTACACTTACAGTAATAGAATTACATTTACAGTAATCCTCGAAGCCATCTCTTCTCTAAACACAAGTTTTACATTGTTATACCTGTACATCTAAACTTATTAAGTAGTGAGCATGCGCACAAATAGAACAGTGGTTATATAAAAATAAATATAATTTGATTAATAGTTGTTTTCATCTCAGTGAACTAACTGTGTTTATTGTTAGGCTTGGTATGTTATACGTTCTGTGACGATTAATATAACTTCTAATTTTTCGCCAAAATAGTTTTGTATAAAAAAGAAAGACACAATACTGGAGTCTGTAAGTAAATATTTTTGTCATATTTATAGCGGTATTAGGAAGTAATACAGAACAGTAAGAATTTAAACATTCCAAATTTTACCTTTTAACCTCGTTTCATGGTGATTTTTAATTTACTAATTACACAAAGTTAATTTAATTTCAGTTTTGAAGAAAACTTGATGGAAAACATGTTTAATGTTAAAGTCAAAGCTCTTCTATAACAACAGTTCATCGTTTCTATGCCTGAAGTATACGTTTTCTATTCATTCTCAACCTTTGATTCACTAAATATCTACACATACTTAAATAACCAGCTATATCATATATCGTCTCGCTTCCTATTATACGATATTATGTTACGACCACGTGGTCTCCGATCCAGACTATTGTTGTAACAAAGTTCTATGAAGCAAAGTAAGGTAAACCTGACACCAATTATATTAACAATACTATACCCAGAGACTGTAACGGCGTGTGCATTAGCGTTGGGTGTTGGTTTTAGATCGGTTAAGGTCTTAAATACGTCGCTATATGAGGTTCTCCGCTTCCATGGGGAAACATTAAAGGCCATGTTATTCGAAATAGTGTCTTGTGATTGTACATCCTGTAACAATCATGGTAAATATATGACTGTTGGATACAGTTCACGTATGTGGTGGTACTCCCCAAGAATAGCATAAGGCAAAGTTCCTACAAAGTGTAATAAACACTGTCT